ACAGGTTCCACCTGTACTCTAGCACAGTCTCCCAACCCCGCTACATCTATTTTTTACCTTCCAATTTTTTAGGTTACATTACTATATTAAGAGCTTTACTAGATAAAGCTATAGCTTTAAAAAGTATGCATTAAATTTTCCTTTCTTGACTCCTCTGTAGTTGCCATTAGCAACCCGTTCCTAAGATGAGAAGGGTCCAGAGCCATGAACCCCAGTTCCTTTCCTGTCCCAACTAGCCAACTGATCAATATCTACCACAGAGATAGAGATTCCTAAAGACTAGGGCTACAGAAGTCTCTTCTGCTAATACTCAGAATTGGTCTCGGACTGAGCTAACAAAGATTGCAGGCCTCGGATAGACAAGAAATTAACCAGGGAAGAGGAAGGAGGTAAAAGCTAGGAACCAATAGAGCCCAACGCCATCACTAGCTCTTCAAAAAGTCATTTGGAGTTTCTCGGCATTTGTAAATGAGAAAATATACTTAAGAAAACTCAAGAAGTTTGATCTTACCACCCCCACAAAGCCTGCCTCATACTGTGCAGCCAGCACATGCCATTCTACAAGCTCATTTTGAACCCCTTCTGTAGTACCAGGCATCATGGAATAAATTCAGAGTTCAGGAGGGAGTAATTGAGCTTGGGGTCTTCAGGAGCCAGCCAAATGTGAAATCAGACAGCAAATAAACAGTTTCGATCCATGAGGAGAGGCAAGAGCTGGAGGAGGCTCCTAGCTGTACAGCTGCTGTAGACCTCTGCCACTCATGTGTAATGGAGCCAGTGAGAGAGGAAAGACAAGGTGGGAGACAGGAAAGGAGACCTGGAACAATGTGTGGTGGAATCACAGCACCTCTCCACTTCTGGAGTGGAACCTGGGGCAGCAGTGAGGTTGTCAGAAATCCTGAACTGCAGAGTCTCAGGTTCAAATCCCACCTCTGCCCGTACATACCTTCTATGGAACCCTGAGGCTGCTATGGAACTTCTGTAAATGTCAGCATTTTCCTCAATATATTCAGAAACGGGGAACAGGGTGTTAGACATACTTTTATTAGTAAAAAGTCTGTACTTCTGAGAAAATGAGGGTAAGGAGAGTAACGCACAACCCCGGGCATATGCCATACTGCTGAACAATTTATTGCCTCTTTGAAGAATTAGAGTTGATTAGACTTGACAGTGAAAATAGAGCAGACTATGTATTGTGTTCTGAGTTAACCTCTCAAAAGTAACTAACTTGTTTTCCTTTATTCATACCAGACATATTTAGTAAGATCTATCATATGTGATGCCTACAAGCTCTTCAGACGATTATCACTTCCCGATATGAATGAACTCAGCCAATTGTCAGTCAGTTCGGTAGTGGCTACGGGGTTGGGAGGTTCATCTCCACAACTTTGTCAAGGCAGAAACTGATTGCGCTGTTTCTCTTCAGGCTTGTTTGTGTTGTTGTTGTTGTTAGTGGTGGTGGTGGTGGTGGTGGTGGTGTGTGTGTGTGTGTGTGTGTGTGTGTGTGTGTTGTATACCACCAGGTCAGTCTTTAGGCCCTTATGCTTATACAGCAAGCACGTTACCCACTGAGCCATCTCCCAGGTCTACAGGCCTTTTATTTGTTTTTGGTTTTGCCATATATTTGTAAATAAAAATACCCAATTTTGACAGATTTTCAAGAATTCATAAAAACAGCCTTTTTTTTTTCACAAGCCAGTAAAAAATACCAACTAGCAATGGTCAGCAAGAGCCAGTCTACTGGAAAGTCAAGACAAGACTGAGCACACACTAGGATTTCTGTTGGCTGCACTGACCAGTGATTCTCTGCCGTCAGGGATCAGCCGCAACAGCTTCCCCATGGGGAAGGTCAGTGTTTAATGGTGATGGTTTTTATTTCAGTAAAGAAGTCGTATGAGTCCTTGGCTCCTTCTCTTCCTATTCCAGAGCTCTTCATCCCTCCAAAGGGCAGGTTCAGCTCCCTGATGAGCCAGCAGTTGGTCCAGATTAGCCCTGACTGAAGCTTCTTAGCTACCCTGTGGATGCGCCCCACATCCTTTGACCACACTGTGGCTGCCAGCCCATACTTAACGCTGTTAGCTCTTGTAATCACTTCCTCTTCACTATCAAAAGGAACAACACACGTCACTGGGCCAAAGATCTCCTCTGTCATGCAGCAGGACTCATCCTTAATGTCTGTTATCACCGTGGGAAGCATGAAGTAGCCTGTCTGGTTCCTGAGTGGAAGGCTCAGCTGGTCCACACCCTCACCACATAGAATCTGGGCACCCTCAGCGCGAGCTTTCGCTACATAACTTCTGACCTGAGGGAGGTAAAAACCATAATTACAGACCTCTTACCGTTGGGTATTTAACACACATCAGCAGAAAAATCAATATTTTCTAATGATGGAAAAGCAATGTAAGGGATCTGGGGTTATCTTACCACAGTGGCAAAGCTAAGGGCAGAGGAACTCCCACAGAGTATGCATATTCAGCCTTCCTGAGAAAGGCAGATTATTTCAAGACACTCTACAAGTGACTGTATTACTGTTACTGCTACCTCTGTACTGTATGTGCTGTGACTGCTACCTCTGTACTTGTATGTGCTGTGACTGCTACCTCTGTACTGTATGTACTGTGACTGCTACTTCTGTACTGTATGTGCTGTGACTGCTACCTCTGTACTGTATGTGCTGTGACTGCTACCTCTGTACTGTATGTACTGTGACTGCTACCTCTGTACTGTATGTGCTGTGACTGCTACCTCTGTACTGTATGTACTGTGACTGCTACCTCTGTATTGTATATGCTGTGACTGCTACCTCTGTACTGTATGTGCTGTGACTGCTACCTCTGTACTGTATATGCTGTGACTGCTACCTCTGTGGGTTATTTTTATCCCCAAGTTGCTCACCTTATCACTGTGCCTCTGAAAGTATACAGGGTCCATGCAGCTAATAAACAACAAAGCTTAATTCACACTCAGGCATATCCTGTAGTTAGGTACAAAACAGTGTGTGTGTGTGTGTGTGTGTGTGTGTGTGTGTGTGTGTGTGTGCTTTGCAAGGGACAGAGAAGTATTTTCATTATAAGACATGAAAATTTGCCCTATAATAGGGTGACAATGCCCTTACTAGACATCACAGGCTAACAAGTAAAACACCCAGTACCAGGAATGAATTACAGATATTAGAGCTATTGGCCATATTACATATTACAGACTATTACATATTACATATTACAGAGTTACTATTACATATTACAGAGTTCTCATATTACAGACTATTGCCTTTGCTCTTTGCCCTCTAGAATGTGACTCTGTTACTGAAAACATCACATACTTGAGTCACAGAATATGAAGGAATGAAGCTGTTCTTGATGTGGAAATGTCATCCCTACAGACTAGCTTTCATACTCATGGAAGTTACTATGCACACTTCAAAAGGAGAAAGATAATCACTACTATTCTCTAGATGTGAACCCTGCAAGCTACATAACAATGTTCCCAGACATATATGTCTGTTGGTGCAGTATTGGCATAAATATCATGGAGTAACTATCTTCTGGTTGGATTTAAGGTCTACTCCACAAAAATGAAATCCTTATCTGATACCATTATCAGGGTCATACCATTACCTGTGGCTCAACAGGCCTTAGGCTCTAGAGGACAACCTACAACTATTATTTTGTTAAGAAGACATAACACAATATTAAACTAACTCTTAATGATTCATTGTTATACCATAGATTAGTAGATCTCCCAACCCTCATTAGAAAAGCTTTTTCCCCCAAGATGATGATAATTAACACAGATATCCACAAATTGTCAAGGTGCAGAGAATAAGAAACTGAAGAATGCTCAGCCAAAAATGGGACATCTCTATCACACCATCTCCTTGGGATCTTTGCAGAAGAGGGAAACAGGAAGACTATGAAAGCCAGAACCAGTGGATGGCCACACAGAAACAGTGTTTTCAGGATGCCATGAGGTGACTGTACATATGAACACCCAGAAACTATGACAGCACACATAAGACCTGCATAAGCTCAAAACAGATAAAATTCCTTCAGAGAGAAGTGAGCACAAAATCCCACCCCAAGCTGAGTAGCTGTAGGTAGTTGATAGCTGCTTGGAGAGAGAGAGAGAGAGAGAGAGAGAGAGAGAGAGAGAGAGAGAGAGAGAGAGAGAGAGAGAGAATGAGTTATCTTTCTTAAAGGTATAGCCCCTGGTGGCAGTGGACAGCCATACACCCAAGAATACATAGGCAACACACAGGACTTGATACGGTAAAACCTGAAAACAAATTTCGGTGGGTACAAGATGGGGATGGAACTTGAAGGAATTGGGGGCCATGGTGAATCCGATCAAAATACATTGTATGGATTCTTCAAAGACTTAATAAGGTTAGAAGGAGAGGAGGAGGAGGAGGAGGAGGAGGAGGAGGAGGAGGAGGAGGAGGAGGAGGAGGAGGAAACAGATCTCTAATTTTCAGTCTTATTACTAATTATACTCTAAAAACAAATGTAAGTAATTTAGTGTAGCTGATTATAATGTAAAATAAATTATGCCACAAGCTAGCCCAGTGACTCGGAGACAATAACGTAAGTACTTTCTTGTTCAGAGGCTGGGTAATTGAGTTTGTTTTCCATTTGGAGTCTATGCTGATTCATCCCAAGAGAGATGTCTAGAACCTATGTGTTTAGACTCAGTTCCAAGTACTTTAAGCCAAGCACCAAAAAGAAATTTTTCAAAGAAAATAGGTACCTTGGGTTTGAGGCATACAGTTCTGAAACCCAGAACATAGTGATACCATGATTCTTCCAATGAATACTGACAACTGCTGTATTTCTGTTGATTTTATAAAGTCTCAAGATACAACAGTGCATAAACTTGACTATTTTCTGCTTAAGGGGAGATAGTCAGCAAGAGAAGACATACGCATTATGCATCGGGCAGTGTTAAAAACCATGGAGAGAGCTGGAAAGATGAAAAACACTCACACACATAAAACAAATGTAAAACAAGAAACATGAGAAAAAGTAAGCACTGCAGAGTTGGGAGAGTCCCAGGGAGTGTAGTTTTATAGGTGAGGCTGGAAAGCTCTCTTTCAGAAGGAACCATTTGCTTAAGGATGGGGAGGATAGGATCAAGCAAGTGTCTGAAGGGTTCCCTTCTGCTCTTGGTCCATGAGAAACAGTTCCCATATCTGATAATTTCTCAAAAGTAATAATATCCTGATACATAGTACTCTGGTTCTCTTTAGAATCTGATTTACTGTTTACTTGTGCATGTGTATGTATATGTGTGTGTATGCAGGTATGTGTGCCCATGGATATCAGAAGAGGGTGTTGATCCCTTGGAGCCGGAGTTACAAGCATTTGGAGCTTCTCAATGTGGGTCCTAGAATCTAAATTCAGACCTAACCCCACTGAGTGACTTTTCCAAGACCTGAGTTCCATCCCTACTCTGTCTCTGTTTCTCTCCCTCTTTGTCTCTCTGACTCTCTCTACATATCTCTCTTGGCTTTTTTGAGACAGGATCTCACTATGTAACTCTGGCTGCTCTAGGACTCACTATGTAGACCAGGCTGGCTTTGAACTCACAGAGCTCCACCTGCCTCTGACTTCTGACTGCTGGGATCAAAGGTGTGTGCCACCATACCCAGTCTCTGCGTTTCTCTTTAATTTGCTGCACATACTTAAAAATGCAGACAGTAATGCTGAGCTTAAGGGTTTAGACATAGATTCTCTAGTCATTGAACACATTCAGGTGAACAAGGCACCTGAGATGTGCAGATGAACCTACAGAGCCCATGGCCGGATTATCCCATACACGAGCTCCCCCTGCCACACTGAGGTGATCCTCACTGAGAAGGAACAGATTATTGCAAAGCCAGAAGAGGAGGGTGCACAGAAGAAAAGGATATCCCAGAAGAAACTGAAGAAACAAAAACTCATGGCACCGGAGTAAATTCAGCATAAAATAAATGCAGATAAAGTTGAAAAAAAAATTTCTGGAATGTAGATGGCAGAGATTCACTTACTTTCTCCAGATGTGCTTTACTTATCAAAGCACCCATGTTGGCTGATGGATCAGAAGGAATGCCAACTTTCCACTTTCTGGTAGCTTCCACAAACCTCTTTAGAAATTCCATATAGATGCTCCTCTGGACAAAGATCCTGCTGGTACAGAGACAGATCTCCCCCTGTCAAAAGTGAAGACAATGATGAAGCTGGGGACATTCTTCTTCACAGATAGATGCCTCATGGTTTTGATCACCTGCCATGTACCAGCCTCTGGTCCAGGCAATGAGATCCAGCTGTCAACAGAACTAATCCCTACCACACAGAACACATAATCTCACAGGAAGATAGACAAAAAACACAAATAAACATTCACTACATGATACAACTTCAGAGAGTAATCAAAACAATAGAAGAACACTAGGCAAATGATAAAATTATGAATTACAGTGAAAGAATTCATGGGGAATATTTATAGAATGCCTGTTTGAGGGGACTCATGGTCAACATGAAGGAGCTGGATAAGGAAATACCAAGAGGAGAGAGGTTTCCATGGTAAAAAGAGGGAAACTACTGTGGGCCTGAGGTTGGTGTGAGTGATGAAAGACGTGAGTGGAGGAGTGAAGGGAAGAAGATAAGGTTGGGGTGAAGCAGGCCAACACTCTCAAAGGCTCAAGGAGGAAGCGGCTTCACGCTCAGCACCATGGGAAGAAAGCAAGAAGTTTTAAGCCACAGAGTGATGTTGATCAGATTTACAGTTTCTGTGTGTGCATGTGATGTGTGTGTGTGTGATATGTATGCATGTATATGTGGTATGTATAATATGTGTATTTATGTATGCATGGTGTGTTGTATGATATATATACATGTGTGTGGTGTATACGTGTGATGTGTGTGTGACATATATACTTGTGTACATGGTGTGTTGTGTGTTATGTGTATGCATATGTGTGTGATGTGTGATATATATATACACACACATGCATGTGTATGTGATGTATGTGTGATACATGTATATATGTATGCATGTGATATATGTGTGCATGTGTGTGTGATATGTGAATGCATTTGTATCCATACGTTTATGCATGTGAGTAGGTGTGTGCATATGTGTGTATGTGTATATGCATGTGTATATATAACATGGGTGTATGTGTGCATATGTATGTGTGCAGGGGGGAGGGCATGTGTGGTATGTACATATATGTGGAAGGCAGAAACAACCCCAGGTGTCATTACTCAGGAACAGTTCTCCTTGAGTTTTGTTTTTGGTTTGAGTTTGGTTTGTTTGTTTGTTTGTTTGTTTGTTTGTTTCGGAACAGGATCCTTTCAGAGGCCTAGTGTTCTCTGAGTAGGCCAAGCTGCCTGACTACTGAGCCAGAGGATCTGCCTGTCTTCATCTCCTCATTCCTAGAACTGCAGCATGTGGCTTTCTTAAGTGGGTTCCGGGCTCAGGTCAAGGTCTCATATTTGAGTGGCAAGTACTTTGGTACCGACTGATATGTCTCCCCTGACCCAGAGATTTACAGTCTTAGATGATCATTCTTGAAGTTATACAGAAAATAAAAATTATAGTGAAGAGTGAAGAAAAATATTTCAAAAGCTCAAATAAATATAGGGAGCTCATAGTGGGGAGGCACTGATGGAAGTGGAGAGAGGAAATATGATCCCACTGAATTCAAAACTCTTAAAGAAGTATGGTACCTCCAAAGGGTGGGAGACCTACACAGATACATTAGAAAAAGCAATGTTTTGGAGTATGTGTTAATCATAGAAACAATGAGATTTGTTTATAGACCAGACATATGTATAAGGAAAAGAGAAAGCCGTAACAGGGCTGACCCTAGCTTTGGGCCCTGTCCCACTTTGGATGGAATACTTTTCTGTGGGAAAGCAAAAGGGAGCAAAGAGAAGAGTCGCTTTTCCAGCGGGTGTAGAGAGGGGGGATCAAGAGTTCTGGTGTGGGCATGTTAAATTCTGACGCCCAGTAGACATTTAAGTACTGATGCTGAATGCCTAGAGGAAAGTCCTGCCAGGTTCTAGAGAGAAAAATAATCCTAACTGCCATTTAAATGTAACATTAAGTAGTTTACGAACCACATCCAAACATTTCAAAGCAAACTGTGTGATCGTGTACGAGCTCGTAAATATTGATAACATTTTCATCATATCTATATTTGATATTCACAGGAATCCTAGGTAACAAAATGATTCTAATTATCTTGGTATTTATACAAAGGTTTACTGTCCAAAAGAAGCAGTTAATGTTCTGAGATAATGAATTCTTTCTCCAGCAAGACGACTATCAGAACCATCTGCCTGTGTGACTTGGAAGAGGGGCAAAGACTCGTTGGATTCATTTGCATAGGTTCCTTATGCAAAAGAAGGGCATGGTGGAGAGAAAAGTTTTAACAAGCTTCCCATCACTTGGTGCTAGGAAAGTATAGGTCACAGAGAGACCAGAAACGACAACTCCAAAGAAAGTCTCATTTCCTGAATCTCCATACCAGGCACTGGTTTGGATATTTTCTCTGTGATAGCTCTGTGGTGTGTTAGTATTCAGTCCACACTTAGAAAATGGAGCTGTGAGCTAATATACCCTCAAGGCCACCTTGAGAGTTTACCCCTACCTCTCTAGAAGCCAATTATCTTCAATTAACGGAGAAATTTGTTCTGCCTGGAACTCATCAATCAGCTAAACAAATAAAGCAAGATGTGATAGTTTGCTTAAAATCCATACCTCGGCTTGAACATACTCTTTCTTTTATTAATACTTAAAAAGAACACCTCCCAAAGAAAGGTTTGATGGGCCAACCCAGATCCTAAAAGAATCCTGGTAGATGAATAGCCTACAGTTATTATCTTCTTTCTTAGCATATGGCTACCTTATACAATATGTCAATTCATTTCGTTCACTTCAACTCTCAGAAAGAGTTTGTTCCTCTTGTTGTCCTGAAGTCCTTGACACACTTAGTTTAGTGGTTTACTTGATATCTGCTCATTTTGATGATTAAATCAGTGTGTTGCAACAAGAACTTGTCTATCAATACCCAAACAATAAGTTTCTAGCCATCTTCTTTGGGAATTATGGTAAAGGAAATAACCATCATTTCAATTATCATGAAAATACTAGTTGAAAACCACGTTTCTCACTAAACACTCACAGAATCCCTTTGTCCAAATGATTATAAAGATAAAGAATAGAGGCCTTGTTCCCATCTGTGGGAATCTGCTGTTCAGTTAATCTGGTCTAGTGTTCTTGATCGACAAAGGATGTGCCTTTGAAGAACCTGAAATTAAAAAAAGAAAGCTAGAGCCCACAGAAACACCTCTGATGTGATAACAGGAGTTGCAAGGATGTCCTGGAGTTCTTTGTCACCCTAGGCTCAGGAACTCACTTTGGAATGTTACAGGGAAGGGAAACTCGGTTTGTGCAGGCATCAGGGATACTTTTGGAAGAGAAGAAAATCTACTGTCAATTGGGCACATGACTGCAAGGAAGAGACAGGCGATAAATAAATAATGTGAATAAATTGATGCAGTGGCCGAGAGTAACAAAGCTGATAGTTCCACCATGCTGGCACTGGATTAAAGTAGTGTGACTTAAGATGAAGAACTTGACTGAAAGGATCCGTGACCATAGCAGGCACTCCCGCTGCTAGAATAGCTCTGTAATTGATTCCACTTTCAGAAAAACAACAGACCATTGCCAAACCCCTGCCTGGACTTTGCATTGCGATAAAATAGATTCAACCGGAAAGGGCCTTGGCGGTGCAGGACTCATACCTGGTTAGCAAAGCTGGACCTAACAGTTGCTGGGATACACTCCTCCAGGTTGGCATCCTCAAAGATGACAGCAGGATTCTTGCCTCCCAGCTCCAGAGAGAGCTTCTTGCAGTGGGGGGCACTTAGCTGGGTAATCCGTTCAGCTGTGGGTTGGCTCCCAGTGAAGGAGATCAAGGGTACCTCTGGGTGAGACACAAGGGCCTCACCAACTCTTGGCCCTGTTCCAAACACAATATTGATCACACCTGGTGGGACACCTGGATGGGAAATAAAACCAGTAGTAGTAATTCTCCCAGAAGTATTGAGGACACCTGAAGTGACATGCAGACTCTCCTCTGGGAGTCCAAAAGCTGACATGTGGGGATAGGGTGAGCTGGTGTAATGGCACCTGGAGATTTTATGACAAGCTCAAGTTAATAACAAAGCCAACCTACAAAGTCACCTCTGCTTATAGAATCCACCTGCTAGGGTTTCTCTGGGTGCTTCGGCCTGGAAAGATACAGAGTGAAGACATTCTAAGAACCTGTATAACACTGACTAAGCTTTAGGGGCTGATGTAGAAATACCATTGAGCAGATCAAACTTCATGTGGGGCAAGGGCTGCCTCCAACTTGATACCCAGAAGAGTAGACCAAGGTGACTGTGTTATGGCTGTGTTACGTAAGTGGATGTTTGAATCTGCAGAAATGCAAATAGATCAACTCCCATAGCCGAGGGAAGCAAGAGTAGGCTTCCCAGAGGAGGTGATTTTGACTCAAGATCCTGTGCCCTTGGTTCAGCATCGCTGCAACTGAAAATCATGTGACAAATTCCAAAAACACACAAAAATCAGTGCCTCAATCTTTTCTACTGCAAGAACCTCTAGACTCAAATGTACATGTATACATTTACCTGTTTCCAGGATTCTTTAGTGTGTGTGTTTACATGTATCTGTGTATTCATGTGAATGCACATGTGTGTGCATGTGTCTGAGTGTGTATTCTTATGAATGCATGTGTGTGCATGTGTGTGCATGTGTCTGAATGTGCACTGATACGAATGTATATGTGTCTTAGTGTGTATTCATGTGAGTGCACATATGTGCACATGTGTGTGCCCGTGTGTCTAAGTGTATTTATGTGAATGCATGTGGATGTATACGTGTGTACATGTGTCTGAGTGCATATTAATGTGAGTGCATATGTGTGTGTGTACATGTGTGTAAAGGCCAGTAGTGAGAACCTCAGTGTCATTCCTCAGAAGCCATCCTTTTGGAGATAGAGCCTTTCATTAGCCTGGAGCTCCCACAGTGGGCTACACTGATTGTCTCTGAGCATCTGAGATCAGCATGCATGCATACACTCAGTCACCACTCCCCTGTCCCCAGTACAGGGATTTCTAGTGCGTGTACCTTCATACCTGGCTCTGTTAACTGGTCTGAACAGATTGAATTCAGATTCTCTTGCTGTGTGACAAACATTTAACTCACTAAGATACCTCCCAACCTATGAATTTACTTCTCTATGCCTGGGCACCAAATTGCTGAGTAAGTGCAGAAGTACTATCTGAATTTTGTTCTACATTGTATGCCCTGTGACACCAGTAAACGCTGACACACGCTGGCTGCTTAGTGAGTGTCAGTTATTGTTATTAGTAATTCGTGGTTATCCTTTGTTTTCTATGGTTTATCCTTAAAGGAGACGGGTGGAAAATCAATACTTTGATGAATCTGTCAGAGTATCAGGTCTAAGCACACTGCCTCTATTCACTGTATGCATTTATTGAGTCTAGTTTAGGTTAATATTGGTTCATAGTCACAGATAGAGGAGTTCCATGTGCCATGTGGAAGAACTCAGTCCTCAGAGCAAAGAAGATTCTAGAAGGACAAAAGCAAGGTAATGTTTCCCATCATCCCTCCTTGAAGGGCTCCAAAGACAGGCCATCTCTTTGGGTAGACAGGAGAATAAAGGTATAAGGGGAGTCTGTTAATATTAATAAATCCTGAATGGTAAAGTGAACTGAGTTGTGTCTGATGCTTACTGTGATATTTTAACAGAAGCTGAGAGAAAACACAGGAACACTGTGTATATATCAGCATGGGATATATACACAGTGAGATACACACAGTGAGCCTATTCCACAGGCCGACTGATTTCCACACACATTATCATTCTGACTCTCTGCTTGAGGTCTGATGTTAATGTGGTAAGAAGCAGCAGAAGCAAAATGTGTGCACAGGTATCTGTCCTCTAAGCTCATAAGAGATTCTGGTCACAAGAAGAGATAGTTGGCACAGAGAAATTGCAAAATGAAACCAGGGTAACGGACTAGCAGATAAGCCAGGAACACATGAACCCACCAGAGTGAAGCCTTTCAAGGGCTCAGGCTTGATGAAGAGGTGAGAGAATTTAAACTTAGTGGAGCAGGTTAAAAACTGGTGGGAAGGGCTAGGAAAACTCTCCAGAAATAAGATTTCATGCCTAAAGAAAACAAGGGATATTTTGGCATTCCCAGAGAGATATTTGCTGCATGCTTCTTCATGGCTTTGTTCTGCAAGATGATTGATCGTGTTTGTAGAAACACTCAAGGCTACAAGAGTGAACACACACAAGATATACTGTCACTTTGCTTTACCCTTCACTCTCACGCCCTTCAAGGTTTCTCTTGCAGTGTGGTAAAACAGAGTTTCATATGTATGATCCACACATCATTCCAATCCCAATGTGAAACCAAGGGCAGCTTGAGCAGCAGTGCAGTGTTCATTAGGGGGAAGACTGGGGGATGCCAGCCCAGCGAAGACAAAGGAGTGACAGCTCGTTAGCTCCCAGGAAATAAGAGCGATGGTAAGCAAACCACAGAAAATGGAAAAAGCTCATGATGAGTGACAGAGAGACAGAGACAGAGACACAGAGAGAGATTGGACAGAGAGACAGAGACAAATAGAAACAGACACACACTGTGGCAGACAGAGAAAGAGAGAGAGAGAGAGAGAGAGAGAGAGAGAGAGAGAGAGAGAGAAAGAAACAGAGAGACAGAGACAGACAGACAGAGATAGAGAGACAGATACACACAGAGAGAGACAGAGAGACAGAGAAAGAGAGATAGAGACAGACAAACACATAGAGAAAGAGAGAGAGATTAGAAAAGAAAACTCATCACAAATCGAGATCTGTTCAATGTCTAAAGTCACACAGGAACACATACATTCAGGACACCCTCTTCCTACCTAGGATCCATGCAGAGTGAGATCCTGCTCTGCCTGGATCTGAGAGGCTCAAAGGCCCACAGTTGAAGGCTTGGTCCTCGGGCCACTGTACTGCTGTGCTTGAAGGGACATTTAAGAGCAAGGACTTAGAAGAAGCTCAGACACTGAAAGCATGACCCAGAAGGGATTATGGTGCCCCCCCCCCCGCTGGCACTTCTTCCTCCTCTGTCCTTCTTGTCTTGAGGTGAGAACATCTCCCTCCAAGACATGTTCCCACCATGAGGTGCTTCCTTACAACAGATCTAGATACAATGAGGTCAGCTGACCATGAGACTTGCAAAAGTGAGAAAAAACGTCAATAGAGGCCAATCCGCCTTAGGTGTTTGCTATGATGACAGGACGAAGATGAACACAGGCCCTCTCCTGCCCTACTGTAGGAACCTACAGTCACCAAGCTAGCAAGAGCAGGCCTGTGTGCACACCAAAGACAAATGGAACCAGAATGTCATCTGTTATAAGGAAGGAGGGCAATATTCTAGGAAATGGAAGAGATCAGTGCAGTCTCCAGCTTCTCGAGGCCTAGGGTATCTGTATAGGTCACCTTGAAGACTGCAGTTAAGAGGCCTTATTCCTAGGCCTGTAAGGACCAGTACCATTCTGTAAACAAGCCCGGATTTAACCTATCACCAGCATCCTGAACAGCTAGCTCACTAGAAGCTAACATGCATCCTTCTGCTTCTGAGGCATCATGAAGCAGAGAATTGGGAGAAAGGAAGAAGTCGTACTTCTTTTCTTTACTTGCAGCCCATTCTACGGAAGCAGAAGCACCCAACAGTGTCTTCCCTGTGCCAAAAGGCAGTAGGCACACCACATGTTGACAGACAGAGGGTGATAACCCAGTCATCTTTCCCATCCTAGCTGTAGGAGTTCATAAGCCAAGAATCCTGACAGAAACGTCACTCACTGGGGTTTAAATACCAGGGCAACGTCAGTCTTCTCAATGCAGAGTTATGTCCCACAGGAAACCAGGAATCCTGCCTAGGTGGAGATGTTAAATTGTTAGCCCAAAGAGGATGGGGGGCAAATGGTAGATGCTGATAAGAAGTAATATCCCATCCACTTCTGTGTGGTTCCAAAACAGGGAGAAACTGGGGTATGCATATTTAAATCACTTGAAAATGGCTGAATCTTTTAGGCATGGTTCAGCTACACAAACTCTAGGAATACCCAACTTCCGAGACTGACCAGAACCTCAAACTTAAAGTGACTTGATGATACTATTTTGAACTAGTTGGTGCCTTTGATGTGACCAGGTAACTCTAAGCCTGCAATATTCACTACAATGAGCTCAGCCAACGGGATGAGGCTGTTCTTGACACCCTTATGGGGTTAAAGATACAAAGGAGTCAGTAGAAGAGAATCCTGCTATGGATGAAGCATGGCTAGGAAGTATCATCAGGCTTACAAAGTGGCAAGACAGCGCTGAAATCAGTTTGGCTTTGGGTGAAGATTGCTTCTAACCGTTCTGCCCTAGCTCCGTGTCTCCTCCTTGCCCCCACATCCTGTTACCTGCTTTATCCAAGAGTTTACAAAACATCCAGGCTGTCACAGAAGTCAGCTCACTGGGCTTGGCTATCACAGTATTCCCAGCAGCGATGGCTGGGGCTATCTTCCAGGTCAGCAGGTAGAGTGGTAAATTCCAAGGGCTGATCAAACCGGCTACAAGATAAGAAGAAAAGCACAGATCTGAAGACCTGCCTCAGAGACAGTGGGGTGGCATTCCTAGCAGAATTCTGTGCTGCTCAGAAAACCCAAACTTCACTTTCAGCCAATCTGGGGAAGTTATTCTAAAGAACCGCACAACCAGTTTACCCCGTACAGCAGCAAAGCCAACACACTTACCATCTTCTTGATAAGCTACGGTTATAAAAATTAGGACCCATAGCAATACAGGCTGCTGGGCCGAAGGCTGCTGACAGTTTGTAATGTGTTCCAAATAGAATGCATATTTAAATCGATCCTTGCTTTTTAAAGAAAGCCTTCTCCCAAGGCAGTATTAAGCCATTTAGTGGCTGTTTCCTGCTGGAGTTCCCACCTCTGCCTCTAGCCTGCTGACACTAAGACGTTGAAGCTCAGACATTGCTGAATTATGTAGTCAACAGGCACAGAGTAATTCTGACTGTTCCGCTAGGGGACTGGCCAACAAATGTTACACTGATGAACTCTAACATACAAACTAGGAAATCCACCTTGGTAATGTAGAAAGTCTTAAAATCAAATTGAGTTTGTTGGATAACAATACAGCAATCTTTTGACTTTGTGACACAGTATTTTCATCTACCAAGTTCACACTCAAGAACCATATATTTAAAATTGACCCAAAGAATCTCATGATATTATAAATAACTTATAATTTTGTATATTATGTTCCATTCACAGCCATTTTGAACCACAGGTTGGAGATGACTGAATGTATCTCACTGAATGCATCTCAATGAAGTATCCTTTTTTAAAAGATTTATTTATTTTTTATATATGAGTACTCTATCTGCATGTACACCTATGTGCAAGAAAGGGCATTAGATCCCATTACAGATGCTTGTGAGCCACCCTGTGGTTGCTGGGAATTGAATTCAGGATCTCTAGAGCAGTAGCCAGCACTCTTAACCACTGAGCCATCTCTCAGCCCCCTCCATGAAGTATTCTTAAACTATTCATTTTCCATCCTCAGCCTACACAATTCTTTTATGAATTAAAAAATAGATTTATTTTATTTTATATTTTTGCCCTGTGGAAGTAAGTATATTTTATAGCAAAAAATTTCCCATAGAAAAATCTGTTTTTTAAGAGTATCAGAATGTATTCACAACAACAAAAAAAAATGTTCAGATGTTCCTTAGAACATTTAAACTTCCCACGACACCTTGGGAAATAATTTCTAGAGGGTTCAGGGAAGCAAGAAAGTGAAATGTTTCGTTTGCTTTCTTTTTGTAGTACTAATATTTGAGAAGAAACATCATGTGTCTTCTCAGGGGAAACAGCGACATCTACTGATTATATTTAGTCGTTTCAGCCGCTTAAAGGATAAAAGGCAAATAAAATAACTGTCGGTTAACGCATATTTACTAGACAACTGACATTACTTGAAAGGGCACATACTTATTTATTGTTTTTTTTTTTAAGACAGAGCCTTGTGTCGTATAGGCTGACTGCAAACTCACTGTGTAGCCAAGGGTAACCTTGAACTTCTGATTGTCCTGCCTCCCCTACCCTAATGCTGGGAATGAGGCAGCACAGCCAGCTAAACGATACACTTACCAATTTATTACTAATTTATTCAAATTTCTTATCTTATTGAATCGTACAAAGATGAAAGAGAATGAATGTCCCAGCTTTTCAGAGTACTGAAGTGTGCAGAGGACGCAACCCTGAGGCCTGAACAGCGGCACTGTCTGGATTTGACATTTTCTTATTCTATTTACAAGCAACAAAGCACTCCCGACATGCCCTCCCACTGTGATCTTCCAGAACAAAGTTTCTGCAAAAGGGAGAGAATTTGACAAAATCAGAATGAACTAGAAGTCGTTTTTAAAGCCAACGAATTTTCAGCAAAAGTAGAAAAGCCGACCCCTTGTGCTTCCTTAGTCTGTCCCCTATTAGTCAGTGCCTAGGATTTTCTGAACTTTCTGATACAGATTCTCCGTGGAATCCACCTACCAATTCCCACGGGGGTGCGAACGGTGTAGTGCATACAGTCCAGGTGGCTCATCTGTGTGCACTCCGATACGTGGTGCAGGATGGAGGACGCGAAGAACCGGAAGTTCAGAACAGACCGAGGAATGTCCATGGTCCTTGCCAGCGAGAGGGTTTTCCCTGCAGAAAATAAACAAAATAAAATGTTGCCTGTGTGTTTCACGTGGAGTCATCTGACACCATGCTCATTTCCAGCCCTCCTGAGGCACTTCTTCACCCCACATGCGTGAATCAAGCAATGAAATATTTAGGCATGAGGTCATAGAATGAGCTGGAGGTGGGCCTAAAATAGAGCTAGAACGTCTCTGTGAACACCTCTAGCCAGATGTACCAGATGCCGCCATTCTACACACACATGGGCGTTAGAGGTTTTGAAATGACAGCGTTGGAATAATGAGTGGTAAGATGACTGTGTGTGTCCTTAAACATCCTCCAAACACACTAAGGAGCCATAGAAAGGCCAGGTGAAAACCCTCAACACAGGGTGCTGATTTCTGCATGGAGTAGGAGGGACCTTACTTGAACTTCTCTCAGGTGGCCCTCAGTGATGAAGGGCTACCACAGACTCAAGAATAAGAGCAAAAGAAAAAATTTCATTTCCTTTCTTCTCTCCTCCCTTCCCCTCCCTTCCCCTCCCCTCCCTTCCTCTCCTCTCCTCTCCTCTATCCTCCCCTCCCACCCTCTCCCTTTCCCCCGCCTCCCGTTTTGCGTGTCAGGTGTGGGGAGAGTGGGAAGGGGAGGCAGGCTATCACTACCAGAACTCACAATCCTCCTGCCTCGGCAACCGGAGTGCTGCATCTCAGGCAAGTGCCACCACACTGACATTGAACTCTGCTCTAAGTGCCTGCCACTCTGTCATTCCTAACTTTAGGTTGGCTAATGGCAGGCATATTTCAACCCTTCCTAATAGACATTATGAAATTTACAGATAGCCACTCTATTCCTCTGCCCTTTGAGAGGGAGAAAAACATGGGATAAAATAGGCCAATATGACAGAAAGCGAGCTGCACGTCACTTGGGAGCCCTCTGACTAGAACAGGCTGATTGCATGACCATCCCTAGTTCCTCCTGTCTCCCCAGTCCCTTGCAGCTCCTTCCACCAAATAGGCACTGAGCTTTGAGTTCAGCCACTGACTTGCTGCAGGGGGCAGAGCATGTCAGCCACAAGGTTTGACCTTCCGCATCCCTTGTGCTTTTGCCTCCATCTCTACTGTTGTCTTGAGAAGCAAGTGTGTAGGCCGCCTTGACACCTCAGACAGGATGACATGACTAACTTGCCCCAAATGTGAGCCATTTTACTAAAAGGCAGCAGATTATTTGACCAACTAGAATGGGGATTCTTGGGTGCAATATCTAAGTAGTGCACAGCAGCTTCCATACGCATCTGGTAAGACACACATGTGCTCAAACCCAACCCCTATTGGTAAAAGATCTTGGGCAGCAGACAGATCCTGCCAGAGACGCCCATCACCTTGGTCTTTAGATTCTGCCTGGGCTAACTCCTCCAGGGACTGCTCCAGTACATCAGCCAGCCTGTTCAGAACGTGAGAACGTTCCTGGGGACTCCGGGATGACCAGGCAGGGAAGGCCTCTCTGGCAGCCTCCACGGCAGTTTCGATCTTTGAGGAGTAAACCAGAGATGGTCACGTTAGCACTGCTGTTTCTGAGGGGCAGGCAGCATTCAGAGTCCACGGCTCCTTTCAACCCTGATGACCATTCTGCCCAATTTCAGGGATTCAACATGTCCTAGTATTAAACTACACACAAAATATACGAGACAAGTGTTCACGTAACAAACAAATAGGATTGAAAACAAAGGCGGGGTGTTTGTTTGCCTTTTACTGTCCTCGGGCAAATCCAACCATCTGAATTCTGAGTCATAACCACCATGGGCTCTGAGTGATGGGCAGCTGACTGTGTGAAAGCAAGCACCAAAGCCTTTCTTCCTTTCTGCTGATTCCCTTTGGAATTTAGTCTCAGAGCCAGTAGCAGGCTGGCTCACACACCACTGTACTGAGAAACTGGACCAAACTGCATGACCTTCTAGCAGTACAAAGACAAGCAGGAAAGTGACCTGAGCTCAGGGTGTCAGAGAGCGGACATAATGATTTTGAGCTTTCCCTGTCAGTGCACAACAGCAGAGGCGCCAGCAATTTAATCAGGACAGACAAAAGGTGCGAGTAGATAGTTCACAAAAAGATGCATAGCCACGGTAAGCAAGGACATGAGATGTCCAGTCTTAGTAGCCACAGGGAAATGTGCACGAAGCCAGTTTCCAAACTTCAGAGATTCCAGGCTGTGAGTGTGGTTCAGTGGTGTTTTCCTAGCATGTCCAAGGCCCTCAGTTTGACCCCCCAGAACCACAAAACAAAGTGGGGGACAAAGCAAAAAACTGGCAATCTCAAATGCTGGGAAGGATGCTAAGAAAGAAGACCTCTCATCCACCACTGGTGGGAATGAGAAATGTGGGCAGTCTGGCAGAACATGACAGTGCTGAACCTCTTAGTCAGGCAGCTCCCCTCCCACCGAGAGTCAGTAACGCCCTCCCAGGAGTTTATCCCAGAGAAACGAACATTTATTTTCATGCCAAAAAAAAAAAAATGGTGTTTGTAGCAGTGATAGTTACAGCCTCAGACTGCATGTGACCAGCTCTCCTTTGCTGGGTGACACGTGCTAGCTGCATCCTTCTCAGCACTAAAAGGAGCAAGCTGCTGCTCCACCACTGAGAGATCTGCAGAGCTGACAGAGGTGCAGCTTTCTGCCTTCCCCAGGGCAGCTTTCCCTTTTACAGGGCAGCTATGGCTCAGAGGCCCAAGCCAGTCGGGCTAAACGGGAATCTAGGAGGGGCTAAGGCTGCATCTCAAAGGGACTGACTGAGAGGCAACCATCACACACACACACACACACACACACACACACACACAGCCACCCCAGAAGCATGTAGTTCTAAGGTAGGTCAGATGCTCAACCTTCAAATTTATAGTCAAAGCATGCACCATCTCTACCAAGGTATCTAAAATACTGCCATCAAGTAACTTGGAAAGAGTGGTTTTTAATTTTAAAAGATGAGAATTCTCAATCATTTTCCAAAGAATGTACTGTTTTGATCTAGTGTAGGAGAGGAAAGTTGTCTAGATGTGTCAAACCTCTAAAGCTCTTAATTCAGAGCTGACAGTTTATAAAGTCAAGTGTCTGCTGTGTGATCATGTCCTCGCTGTCACTGGCACTTGGAGTGACTAGCTCTGTCAGTTACTCATGGACCCATCTGTGTATCTGAAGGAATATAAACAAATTCACAAGGCACTTAGCACTTCTCCTAACTTTACACCCCAAGTACTGAACCCCTGTGAAAAGATCTTTTGACCCCTATCGGAATCCTGACCCACAGGTTGAGAACCACTGTTATAGCATAAATTTACTTGCCCTGCCCATAATAGTTGCTTCAGTTGGAAAGGGAATGTGGAGCTCCCAGGGTAAACAGATAAAAAACAGATGCCCTCTTGTGGCCTAAACGTGATGCACTCAGAATGCATCTAAGTGCTTTTCTGCCCTCCTCTGTGGTTCAGATTAAGTCCACAGGCTGTAGTATCTTAGTTTGCTCTGCGCGCGCACACGAGCATGCACACGCTCGTGCGCGCACATGCACACACACAATTTGGCACATGTCTTGTAACATCAACAAAGACACAGCTTTTGTGGACCACAGAATATTTGCAAACTGGATTGCTGAGAAAATAAAACATACATATTAGTGTAAAAGCAAATATGTTTTATTCTATTTCCTGAAGAAGTACCAGCTGGTACCACACACCACCTGCATTTCCTCACTAGAAACACCATGAGATGGAGAAGAGAAGCCTTGTTCTCATGCAGTTCGGGTCATTGGAAGCAAGCAAAATTGCTGGTTACAATGTAACTAACAAGTTATCCAATATTTGTAAACTTCAGTACAGAGTCTAAAGTTGATTTTTTTCTCCTCTAGAAGACAGATTTAAAATTTAATTGTAAAGGAAAAAGCTGAAATTTTGAAGAAAAAACTTTGCATATAAGGTATATTCATATAGGAAGATTGGAATTATATTATAATTGATTTGTTTGTGCCTTAAAAAGAATAAACAATGAGCAGTTGGCATTTGGTAACCATACACACATCAGTCACTCAGCACACCAAACATTTTTATTCTCAGTGCAATAATTCATAACTAATCAAATATATTTCAGGCACTTTACAAAATTCCCCGTGACTTAATTCTTCATAACTAAAAAATAAAGAGAAAGGAACATCATTTTTTAAGTTGATAAGTATAATGAAAAAACATGAGAATTTAATTTTCAGTTTCATTACTTGAATGGCTGGCTTTGTTTCACTGGGTATTTTTGGAGATATGAGGAACTATCAGATGATGGTCTAAAATAAAGTACTGGGCTTTTGTTTTATTCTCAATTGAAGTTTTCAAGACTTATTTTTATAAACCCACAGAGCCAGTGGGCACTTTGTAGAGAAAGGATGCACCTCATATCGTGAAAGCTCTGAATACGTAGTACTATAACTATTACAGTCTGTCTGAGAATTACAAACATTAAAAGCACTGTGCCCATAGCTAAGAACTTTCTCCTGAACATAGTAAGCTGAGAGCTGTTCTGGCTCATACCTGTCTACATTTTCCTTCACTCCCACCCCTTTACTTTTAGAAAATAGTTGTCCACAATTTGTCAACACATTTCAGTTTCCTAAATAAATAGACTTACCTCTTCTTTCCCACTATTTGGTACTTTACAATACACTTCCCCCGTTGACGGATCGTAAGAATCTATATATGAGTTACAGGGTAAAAATTTTCCACCTATAAAGTTCTCCAACATCAGAAGTTCCCTCTTTCCAGCCATGTTAGGAGAATGCTCACTGTGACTGCCCTCAGGACTTTGTTCAGACACCCTCACCTTGTCCCTAGACCCAGGGGCCTCATTTGCATATCAGGCCCTGGGAGGAGGAGACCTGAAGCTCTCCAGAACATTCCTGATTTCAAACTCTCAACATTTCTTTAAGGCAACCGATGGTCCATTCTGAGAAATGGGTACAAACATCAAGTTACATATGCACATTGTCTTCGAATTGTCCTTTCATATCAACTGTGTGTGTACAAATGATTTCATCCGCACCGCACCACACCATAAACGTCCACTGTTTAAACATGGAATGCAAAGCAGAAAGAAAGTTGGTTCCACAGAATAATTTCCCATGAAGCAATCATTCTTACTTCCCCCTTTCTAGGGAAGGAACTGAGCTTCTGGGAGGTTAGGTGATGTGGTCAAGGTCACACATGAGCAAGGGATGGACTTTCTCATCAGTGCCTCACCACCCAACCCCGAGGACAAATGGAGGACAGTCTCCCTTTTTCCATTGCTCGTCCTTGTCTGCTTTCATCTCGGCAGCCTTCTCCCTGAAATGTGTCTTCCATCCCTAGACCAGGGCTGCAGGGATAACTTGCATATCCTAGACATGTCAAGAAAATGAAGATACAAACCAAGAATGCATATGACATATACAGCAAAACACAGACTCTTGTCAGTTCTGCAAACTGATAAGTGAATCCAGCAGAAAAGATAGGTCTGTAATAAGAGCCATTTGTATCTGAAAGAACAGTTGGCCATGAATGCATTAACAGATGTCGGGCTAATTGTAAATCGAGAAAAGGGGTACACAGAAAGGTTCTATATTGGCTGATTGGACCAGAGAGTATTTTAAACTTTAATATCAGTCTGAGAATGTGAAAAGCACACATGTCCTATGCTGGCAGGGTACACAAAACACTTGTCCCTGTCAACACATAAATATGCCTACTTTGGGTCTAGTGATTTCCTTGCAACAAATCTCTCCTTTAAAATATATCTGTTCACAATATTCAACATTCCATTATTGTTATCTATATTATTATCTACATTGTCTATATATAGATATATATCTACATATATTATCTATATAGATATCTTGATATCACAACATTTTATTATTATAATAATGTAGCTGAAAGAACACTCTGTGTCCCTTTTAGCCCATGGAGGCCATGTCAGGCTTTTCAAGGTTGAAGACAAAGTGTTTGCATGGATACATAGATGTTGGAGACTGGAAAGGGCTCGTGGACTGCTGTCATTATTTGTTGGTGTGCTGTTATATGTGGCATGGTAGTCAAAAAAGTTGTATCCATAAGAAAAATAAATAGAATGTTCCATGAATAATTAGATAAACACACATATGGAATACCAGTCAGCAATATCAATTATCAATACACACATTAACTTGGATGGATCTCTAAGACATTATGTGATATCTGATTACCAAGCACAGCAGTGGCCATGAAGTGGAACCAGCTTGAACCTACAAGACAATCTATATGTGTTGTGGACGGCACAGCCAGGAGTGGAGCCTGGAGGATAGTGAGTAGATTCTCTGTCAAGCACTGAACTTTATACAGTTGAACTTTGGCTTTGTTTTGAGATGATGTAACTGTGCCTTGGTTCTTCCCTCTTGGGAATACTCACACTACTTGTTGGTTTTATAGAAGCCCACAGCTGAGACTTTGCACTTGTAAAGAGACTTTGGAGTTTTAGAGAGATTTTGGTAATTTTAGAGAAACTTTGGCTATTTTAGAGACTTGGACATTTGTAATGTTTTTTATTGATATTAACATGTCACCTTGGGGAAAAATGAGATAGAAAAGATTCTAGCTGAAAAGTGATGCTGTATGTCAAGTTCTTGTTTGATGACCTCAGTTTTGGTGTCAAGGATTCTATATAACAGCTTTCTAATGGAATTTGATCATTTCCTCAAGATTAGACTAGTATTATGGCTTTCTGAGAGGAAGACCTCAGAGGCCATCATCATATGCACTGGTACCTGTGACTTCAATACACCTAAACATTTCACTGGTATTGACTGTGACCACCTGACTAACATAGTGCTTAACAGGCTTCTGCAGTCAGAAGTATTATTTTTAAACCATTTTTCCATAATGTAAATCATTTTAAAAAGGCTACAGGCTTAGACCAAATACAGTGGTGAGGGCTGGGGAAATGTCTAATTGGCAAAGTGCTTGCCTGAGTTTGGATACCCAGAGCCCATGGAAAACTCAGAGTACAGCAGTGTGTGCCTGTAAACCTAGCACTATGAAGGCAGACACAGGACCCCTGGGACCTAGCAGCCCACCAGACTAACCAAATCAGGGAGTCCTTGATTAAAGGAAACGCCTTGACTAAAGAAAATAAGGAAGAGGAGACCAAGGACAGTTGCCACCAACCTCTGGCCTTCACGTGCACCTGCACACACACAGACGAGGGGGGGGAGCCATGTTCTAGCTCCTTGAGGAAACAACACCAACACTAACGATTTGGAGTGCTGCTCCTCACCCTGCCCAGATTTGTTCCATAACCCATTTCTATTAGCAAGGGCACAGGATGTTATTTCCTGAGAAAGTGATTTTCTTTTCTAGTTTTTGAGAGGAAATGTTTATTTAGCTGATTTTTTCCCTTTTGTCACATTTAAGGCTATAGTTCGAGAACTCTCTATTATAGACATATGTCATACACTCATGCATGTACACTGTATTTGTTATATAATTTAAATATACAATAAGGCAACATATGTGTACATGCTCCATGCATACTGACAGTTTATACTTTTGCATTCCACAAGGAACCTGAGGTGAAGATAAAATCAGAGAGTAGTCACTTATAAAATATTAACAGAAGACCCTTTCTAGTTTGAGAGCTGAGCATTGAACTTTCTGTGAGCTTCCTAGCATCGCAAGAAGCCATCAGCCATAGCAGATGCCACGGGAGCCTCCTTGTTCCTACCTGATGTCATATTACATAGAGAAGTATCCTCATGGCCAGGCTTATCTTACTTTGCACTGAGACAGGCAGAGTCAACACAGCTGGGCGGGCTGCTTGACCCTGTAAGAGGATGGGAGAGAATGAGGAAGGTGACCATCAAACAGAAGAGTCCCAGGGCCTCCCACGGGGCTTCACAGACAGGTAGGTTCCTGGCAGTCATAATCAAGTTACCAAACACAATTCTAACGCCAGACCCTGATGTCACCACAGCAACTGTGGAGGTCCCAGCACCAGTAAACTTGGCTGCTGTGTCAATGTCCCAGAAGACAGTACTGGTCAGGAACTTTTATCTGGCCACCGGGAGAGTGAAGCTGCTGCAAGACAGCTGTGTGGAAGCAGGAGGCAGGCATGGGCTGGGTGAGAGCCCCAGAACAGGAGCTGACTGGAAATGGAGAGATAAACAGTGCTCCGGCAGTGTGCTCCTCTTCAGTGCTCTGGAGGCGGCATGTTCCTCGTCAATCTGCACCCCAACTCCTCCAAGCCCCTGCTCAGGCCACAGTGCTCAGTTATTTCAGTTCTCATTATTAAGATAACTATCTTTTTTCCATAGAACCTGGAGATTAGGCTGTCTATAACCCAAGGTTTCCTTCATCACTAAGAATATATTTGTGTGTATTTAAGAGGTGTTTCAGAAGATAAACCTAAGCACAGGAACAGCAGCTCAGATGATGATGCTGGCATGTGGGTCACCCATAAGGCATCTAGAATGTGCCACAGGGTTACACATTCTTGAAATTACCTACCTCATGTGCACTAAGGTCTGACATTATCATTGTACCAACAGGCCTATTTAACAAGTGTGTGAGATGACTATTTTAATGTTAATTTCCCTATCTGCTTATGAAATATGAGAATTAGGAATCTCACAGTCATGAGTCATTCCTGGAATGCTCTTTTATCTGACCAAATTATAATTACGACATTAAACTTGGAAACTAAGTATGCAAAGTTCACATATTGGCACTTTTGGTCTCACTTTAAGCAACTTAAGCAGCTCAGAGATAACAGAACTCTGAAGTACTGACAGGAAATGAGAAGAGACTTTAGCTACATTAATGCCTAACAGCATCTGAGCCCATCTCAGATGGACTTGTCCTTGTAGGGACTGGTCACGGGAGGAAAGGTGCCATTCTTTTCTACCTGGAGATGCTGTGGTTTGAACCGTATCCCTTGAGAATCCAGCCTCAAGTTTAACCCTCCAACGGCAGTATTTAAGTGGGCACTCCTGGAGTGAGGTGCTTATGGCCTCATCAGTGACTTTGTCATGTGTGCCTTCTGCCACCAGAGCACAGTTGCTCTGCCTGGTGAGGATGTGGCAAGTGACATCTGGAGGCAGGGAATATTTACCATACACAGTCTCCTCACACTGTCATCATGGTCTTCCCAGTCTCTAGAACAGCAAGAATTCAGGTTCTCTCAAGTTATCTGATTTCAGTTATCCTGTCACAGCTGAACGGACCAGCATGTGGCCTCTGAGAGGACAGGACATGCCACCATTCACTCTGCTGAGGCTCCATGATAACCAAACTCCCTTGTGCATCATGATTTTTGTTTTGTATTTTGTAATTAACCCTCTGAAGATATTCTGTTGCTTCTGTTTTCCATGTTGCTCTCTCTTGTTCCTTCATGTACTTCCCGTCTTTGAGCAGCTGAAAGCTGCTGCTGTCTTTGGTGCTCTGGTTTCACCACAGTGCATTTTATGAGGACTTGTTCTTAAGCATAATGGAACAGGCTGCTTTTCTACTACTGACTTGGTCTTTCGCCAGTTGTGGAAGGTTTTGGCTGCTGTAACTTTGTGTACTGCTGTGTGTCCGTTCTCTGTATTTCTACTTTCTAGAATGTTTAAAATGTAAACAGAGTTTCTTCAATTCCTTACTGACCATGAATTTCCTTCCTCCTACTCTGTCTCTCTGTCTCTCTTTCTCACAAACACATACCTGCCTGGTTAAGTTTTCTGATCTCTATCCCAAGTCATTATATCTGAGCTCCACCTAATCTGTTTAAACAATATATGGTAGTTTTAATTATATAACTT